TGGTTTTCATTTGTATTTCCCTGATGGCTAATAATATATTTTCATATGCTGTTTGCCTTTTGTAAATCCTGCTTGGTGAAGTATCTGCTGAAGCTTTTTGCTCATTTGTAATTGGATAGTTTTCCTACTGTTGAGTTTTGGGAGTTATTTATATATTCTGAATAGAAGTCTTTTTTAGGTATGTTATTTGCAAGTATTTTCTCTTAATCTGTGACTTGCCTTTTCATTTTCTGTTCCTGATTGCTCTGTGTGTCTGCTTCCATTTCTGATTCTCTGGTTGTCCCTTTGCTCAGATTGCACTGTCTTTGATTATTGTAGCTTATTATTGTCTTAAAATGAAGTAGCATAATTCCATCAACTTTATTTTTCCTCAGACTTTTTATGGCTGTTTTAATTCATTAGCCTTTTCCATGTAAATTTTATAATTAGCTTTTCTGCAAAAATTATGCCAGGATTTTTGAATGAAGTATATTAAATCAATCTGTAGATAGATTTAAGGAGAAAAGAAATGTTTACTATACAAGATCTTCCCATTCATAAACATGGCGTCTCTTTCTATTTGTTTAGATTGTCCTTGATTTCGTTCGTAAGTATTTTGTAGTTTTCAGCATAGAAATCTTGTGTTATATTTATACATAAGTGCTTCATTTTTGGTACTATTGTACATGGTATCTTTATAATTTGATTTCCAGTTGTCCATGACTATTGTTTTTATTATGTCTCTTTTACAGATTTTTTTTTAGTGATTGTTCGAGGTAAGAATTTACTTAGTTATCTTTGCACAGTCAACTCTAACTAAATATTCTACCTCTTTAGTGGAACATAGAAACCTTACCACTATAAGTGTCTCCTTATCCCGCTCCCCTTTGTTTGGGTATCTTACGTATTACATCTGCATACATCAAACACCCATTCAGACAAAGTAATCATTATTTCAAGTGGCTAAATAGGGAAAGAACAGTCTATTATATTTGTTCAAATAGTTAACATTTTGGTTGCCCGTGCACTTCAGATGTTTCTGGTCCCAGATTTCTTTCTGATACCGTTTTCCTTCAGTCTATAGAACTTCCCTTAGCATCTCTTTGAGAACAGATTTTCTTGAACTGAATTATCTGAGTTTTCCTTCATCTAAGAATATTTTTATTTTACTTTGATTCTTGTCTTGAATGATACTGTTTACACTTGATATAGAATTGTAAATTGTCAGGTTTTTTCTGCCAAAACTTTAAAACTGTTGTTCCTTTTCATTGGGTTCTCCATGGTTCTGATGTTTAATGTAACTGATATGATATTATATACAGTCTTATGTGACTTATTTTTTACATTCCACATTTTGTTTCAAAAGTTTTATCTATGTGTTACCTGATATTTTACTTCATTTCACTACTGACCCTGTCCCACGGTGTGACTATCCCATTGTGTGAATATACCACAATTTTTATATCTGTTTTTCTTTTGGTGGAATTATCTGTTATTTGAACAATATTGCACCGAACATTCTATACATATCTCCTGGTACTCGTGGACGAGATTCTGTAGGGATTATATGCCTCAATATGGGATTTGTGCGTCATGTTCCCTCTTCTGAGAAACTGTTTTCAGATCTCTTTGTTTATTTTCCTACTGGGTTATTTTTCTTATGAGATTGAAAGATTTTTTTTTTGTCAGACATTCATCTGTTTTATATATATATATATATATATATATATGGTATAGCAAATATCTTCTTCCAATTTGTGATTTGTTTCTATTTTTATCCTTTGATATACAGAATTTCTTAATTAAATATAATAAAATGTATACCTTACTGTTTGTGTATTTTGTTACATTTTATGTGAGGTTCATTTATATGAGATATTCTCTTAGATACAGCAAAGACAATCTTTTGTCTTATTTGTGGGAAGTATTTCCATAATTTTGTTAATGACTTTTTTTGGTTTTTCTCATCAAACATTTCATATATAAGCAAAAACCAACAGAATCCTTATGTGCCTATCTTTCAGCTTCAGAAGCTCACGGACAATTTTGTTTTGTCTGTGCCCTCAACTTCTCTCTGCTGCCATATTGTTTTAAAGCACACCCCACACATACTGTTTCATCCATCAGTATGTCAATATGCACCTAAAAGATAAGGATTATTTTTAATGCGTAACCAGAATACCATAATCACATTGCACAAATGAATAATTCTTTAATGTAATCAAATATTTAATCATTATTCAGCTTTCCGGTAATCTCATAAATGTCACAAAAGTATTTTGATTACTTTGAATCTACAGTGACACATACTGTAACAGTTTGTCTTATGAGTCTCTTAATCCACAGGCTCTCCTTCCATATATCCTTCTTCTTTCCTCCTTCCCTCCTCTTTTTTAAAATTACAGTTTATTTGTTGAAGAAACTGAGTTGCTTGTCCTGTGGAGCTCCTCAGAGACTGAACTTTTGCTGATTGCATCTATATGGCTTCTGTTATTTCTTCAGTATTTCCTGTAAAGTATTAGTTCAATCTATACACTTTCAGGTTCAGTTTCTTTAGCAAGACTGATTCATAGATGGTGGTGTGTCTTTCCATCAGGAGGCATATAATATCTCATTGTCTTTCTCTTTGTGACATTAGTAGCCATTTAAGTTCAAGGGCTTGATCTGTGAGTTAATTAGGGGTTGCAAAATTGGGATAGTTTAATGCCATCATTCCTTCTTCATGAATTAGCTAGAATGTCTAATAAAAAGAAACTTTCCCTCAACTACTATTTGGTTACGCTGTGGTACAAGATACTTAGGAAAAATAGACTGTTGCTTAATATTTTGTCGTCATTCATCAGTTTTCAGAATGATGAATTGTCGGTGAGCAGTTAGTTTTGTGTTATGAATTCAGATTTATGTAAATGTGATGTGCTTAAATTCATTGCTATTATTGTGCTTATTAATGCTGAAATTGTGACAGCTCTGGCCAGTGACAGCCCCTTGAAGGTAACTCTCGAGTCCTCTTTGACACAACTGTAGTGATTTTTGTTAGCTTTTTTGCTGTCTGAGAAGATAGGATTATCCAAGCTTATCTTGTACACATTCAGTTGCTTCAGCACCATTAAGTTTCAGTGGCATCTTTGAAAAGATAAAGTGGTCATACATAGTTGGAACTTTTTCTGGACATGGTCTTCTGTTTTATTGGTCTGTTTGTCCTTATATGAATACAGTATTCTCTTAATTACTGTAGCTTTATAGTAAGTCTAGTAATTTGGCAGTTTTACTTCTCCAACATTTGTTGTTTATTTCCTTAGAAAATTTACTTTTTAGAAATAAATTTCCTTAGAAATTTCCTTAGAAAATTGCATTTCCTTAGAAAATTTATTTTTTGTTGAAGAAAGTTGATTCATAATATTGCATTAGTTTCAGGTATACAGCATAATGATTCAGTTATTTTTTGTAGATTATAGTCCATTATAGGTTATTACAAGATATTAATTGTAGTTCCCTGTGCTATATAGTAATTCTTTGTTAATGTATCTATTTTATGAATAGTAGTTTATATCTGTTAATCCTGTATACTCCTAATTTGTCTCTCCCTCATTCCTCTCCCCTTTGATAATGATAAATTTGTTTTATAAGTCTGAGTCTGTTTCTGTTTTGTGTAGACTCATTTGTATAATGTTTTTATATTCTACATGTGATACCATATAGTATTTGTCTCTGTCTTATTCCACTAAGTATAATATTCTCTAGGTCCATCCATGCTACTGCAAATGGCAGTATTTCATTCTTTTTATGGCTGAGTAATATTCCATCACACACACACACACACACACACACACACACACACACACACACACTCATGCCACATCTTTTTAAGCCAATCATCTGTTGATGGCACTTGGGTTATTTTCATGTCTTGGCTATTATAAATACTGTTGCTATGAACAGTAGTGTGCATATGCCTTTTCACCTTTCCCATTTCTACAGCATAGTCTACTGGGATATTATTTGGGTTCACCTTTCATTTCTTTTTCTTGCTGGCTAGGACCTCCAGAACAGTGCTGAACAAAATGGTGATTGTGTACATCTTAATCTTGTTGCAGAATTTAAGGCTAAGTGATTGATATAAATTAGAATATTAGCTCTGGATATTTGAAGATAGCTTTTATCAGAGGAAGGACATACCTCCATACTCCTTATTCATTAGGGAGTTTCATCATGAAGAGTGTTGAATTTTATCATGTTTTTCCTTGAGCTTTTGCGATAATCATCTGAATTTCCTCCTTTTTTCTCTTAATATCGTGAGTGACTTATTTTTGAATGATAAAACAACCCTGCATTCTTGGAGTAAGCCTCATGTATTATCTTTATTATACATTGTTAGATTCAATTTATTTTATTTATAACTTTTACATCTTTTCATGGGGGGAAATGGCTCAGTTTTTCTGTTCTTGTACTGTTTCATACTGTATAAAGATTTTTATATTTGAATGATTCTGGTCTCAAAGTTGGGAAAGGAGTTTACTCCTCTTCAATTTTCTGGATGAATTTGTATAGAGTTAGTGTAAATTCTTCCTTAGATATTTTGTATAATTCAGAAGTGAAGTCATTTGAGTCTGAAGTTTTCTTTATGGAGATGTTTTTAACTACATATTCCATTTCTTTAATAGATATAAGGTTCTTTATATTTTCCATTTATTTGTGAATGAGATTTGATAGTATGTGTTTTTCAAGGAAATTTATATGTAAGTAATGTCCTTTACATATAAATTTTTAAATGTATTGCTATCCATTTTTCATAATATTCCTTTATTATTATTTTTAGTATTATCTGTAGACTCTATTGTGCTGTTGTCTCTAATTTTCCTGATGTTGGAAATTTGAGTCTTTTCTTTTCCTGATCAATCTGTCTTTTCAGTTTTATTCAACTTCTCAAGGAGTCAAATGTTAGTTTATTTTCTCTCTTGTTTTTCTGTTTCTTTTTCACTTTGATCTTTACTTATTTCCTTTCTTATGCTTACTGAATGTTGAGAAGGATATGGAAGAATCAGAACTCTGATGCACTGCTGAATGGTAGATGATACAATCACTTTGGATTAGGCATTTAGGCATTTCTTAAAAGTTAAACATATACCTACCATATGACTCAGCCATTCCACTACTAGGTATTTACCCTACAGAAATGAAAAACATATGCCTACACAAAGACTTGTGCATGTAAGTTCATAAGTATTTGTAAGTTGCCAAAACTGGAAGCAACCCAAACAACAGGTGTGTGGATTTAAAAATTGTGACATAAGCATACAATGGAATACTTCTCAGAAATCAAAATAGGAAAAATTATTAAAACATACAATATTATGTTGAGTGAAAGAGCCAGGCAAAAAAAGAGTGCATAGTATATGATTCCATTCATATAAAATTCTAGAAAATTCAGGTTAATCTTGTGTGAGAAGTACAGAACAGTGTTGTCAGAGGATGAGAAGAAAGAGATGGATGGATTACAAAGGTGGATGAGAAAATTTTTAGAAATAGTAGAAGCTTTATTTTTGTTGAAGTGATGGCTTCACGGTTGTAGACATTTTAAAGTTGAGGAAACCATGCAATTTAAGTAAGTACAGTTTATTGCGCTTCATTTATACTTCAATGAGTTCTTTAAAAAATATGCTATTTGTTTCATTTACTTTTAGGATCCTCAGTAAACACTATCCATCAATCTCCGAGTAGTTCTAAGAATGTTGATAAAAAGTCAGCACCTTCTAGTGCTTGTCATCCAGATGTACAAGATAATGATACTGAACAAAAGGTATAAAATTATGTCTCAAACTTGTGTATGGTGATTATTAATTTATCTAGTAAAATTTTACTACTATGAACCATCTCCTTCTCTAGCATGTTACTGACTGGTTAGGCAAATTAGGGTCCATTCCTGAGAACCGATCCCTTTCCCTGGATATGTTGAGTTACCTTTCTGCTAAACTCACTGTGTAATTTAGCAGAAACTAATCCAAACAAACATTTAGCAATTACAATGATAATAATATCTAATATTTATTGAGTATCTCCTGTTACCCAAAGCCCTGTACTAAGGCAGAAGGATAGGAAAATGAAGAGATTGGTTACATAGTATACAAAGAAGAATAAGACATAATCATTCCTCTTGAGGGCTCGTTGTCTAGTGGGGCAGACAGACACAGAAAAATGTTATTGCAATAAATTGAGAGCCGGGGATGATAAATTTCGTTTTGATTCTAAGCAATATGTTTTTAAAGCATTAGATTAGATTAGAATAGGTTGGATTGTATTTCCCTGAAACAAATTGAATGACTAAACTTTTTAGAATGAGCCATTCAATAGATTACCATGTCTTTAAACAAAATATGAAGTACTGGAATAGGAGCAGTTTTATACCTGGCTACATATTAAACTCAATTTTGAACTAGTTCAATTTGAGATCCCTGTGAAAGGTATCCTAGAAGGTTGGTAATAAGTATTGTCCCAGAGACAATTTTCATGAGAGAATTAGAAGATAAAAGGGAATAGAATCTGTATTAATTTGGTTGATTACTAGAAGGCAAAATCTGTTTCAAAAGTAAAGTGACTAATGAATGTTCTTATGTTTAATGTACCATATAGAAAGAAGGAGAGACAAGTAAAAAATCAAGTATTTTTGATGATAGAGGTAAGAAAATAAAACATTCACAATTGTTCTGTCATTTGTTAAGTACCTAATTGTGGTTTCATCATACAGTTTCTCAAGTTATTTGTTTTACCTGATTGTAAAAACCATGGTTATTTTGGAAGATAAAGCATGGTATAAAATTGTTTATGAATTTTGATGTTATAATTAGCCTATATTTGAATGATTGATTGATGAAATCAACTTTTGAAACTTGCAAAGTGTAGAAAAGTTGGAGTGCCTACTATCGCTGTTTCTGGTGATAGGTAGAGTAAGGTACTGACATGCTATGGTTCGATAGGTTGCAGTACAGAGAACTGTCCCCAGGAGGTTCCTCATACTCCACTGCCATCAGTTCCCCACAGACAATAAATCCTATCTCCCATCTCCCCTTGAGTGGAATATACAATAGCGAGTTTCTCTGTACTTTGTTAGATTCCTGAAAGTCACTAAAAACACTCCCATGCACATCTTACATACACACAGAGAAACTACTAACTACTACACACCTCTATCCAGTGGCCTGTGACCACCTGACATTCAGTACAGAAACCAAATTCCTCGTCTTCCTGATCCTTCTGTTTTATTTAGGCACAAAACTTATCTTATTTCTGACTCTTACTTTCTTGAATTTTGTATCCCACAGCTGCCACTTTCTAACTCTTTAGTTTCTCTTTCCCTCTCTTTTGTTCCATTTCCACAGCTGCTGCCTTTGTTTCCTCCATCCTTGACTATTTCAGTAACCTTCCTCAGATCTCTTCCTCCTCTTTTAATCTACTATACATCTTGGTGTGAAATCAGTCTTCCTAAAACACAGTTTTGATTATTCTGCTATTCAAGTTGTGAGTGGTTTTCCATTGTAGACTGAATGAAATGCAGACAGTTAAATCTGCCAGTGATTTGTGGGACTAAGATGGTATAATATTAAGTAAATTAGGAATGGAGGATAAGGATCTCAGACTTATTCCTGAGGGCAATGGTGAACCACTGGAAATTTGTAGATACTGAACATAAAGAAAGGTCATGTTATTATTGAAGATACTTTCTTAACTCAAGTAAATACCTGATTGATATAAGCCAGTTATTGTGGCAGCTCTGTAGAGAGAACATGGATCAGTTCTACCCATTAATGTTGACTGTTGTTCCAGAAATATTATCTTCTCATCTATGTAAAAGTATCTCTTTTTTTTCTCCAGGAGATGTATGTATCTCAGCTCAAAATTCAGTTATTTCAGCTCAGAATTCACCTACAAGAAATTTTCCCAGACTGTCACACTCTTCAGTGGATCCTCCAAAAAATGAGGTATATAACATTTCTTTTGCCCCACAAACAGTAAATGAAGTACAATCTTATCATCATTGGTATAAAAAATTTTATTCATGAAATGACCATACAGGACAGCTCTATTCCCTGAAATGATTCATACTCTAACAAAATGTTAATAGCTCTAGGATAATCTTCCTAAATATAGGTAACTACATGGTAGTTCACAGTACATACCTGCAGCCTTCAGAGAAAGTATCAGATTGGGCTTTGACTACTACTGATGGATTGTTCAGAGGCAGATATATCATCTCTCCCCATTCCCTTTTGACCAGTGGTCAGTTACGTGCTGTTGAAAAGTTACTGACAAATATTAAGGGTGCGGCTTCTGAATGTAACACAGATTTTTATTTATTTTTATTGAAGTTTAGTTGACTTACAGTGTGGTGTTAGTTTCTGGTGTACAGCATAGACTTTTTCTACGGGTTGCCAGCTTGCTATTTATTATAGGAGTCAGAACATCTTTCATTCCATTAGTTAGCACAGTACTAACCGATTCAACTGTGCTAAAAAAAAAAGTTAACATGGTTTGAAAGAGATTTCAGTAAGCTAGAAATGTGTAAAATTCTTTCCAAATGAATTCTGTTTGATTAGACTAGAAAGTATTATCATTTTGCGTGTCCTCTAATGCATGATGATCGAGAGACTACATTATACAAAACTTGTAAATGTGGTTTGTTTACCATAATATGCTTCTCTGTAGCATGGTTTTATTGTAAAGAAACATTTTACATTTCAGTGTTTTACTGTGTTAATGTCTACATTAAGCATGCTGAGTCAAAAAAAGAAATTTCTTAACTTTGACATTTAAAGTTCTCCTAGTGCCCAACAAATGTCAAAGGGTATGCCATTTACTAAAAACCAAACCAAGACAAACAAACAAAAAACCCCAAGTCTTCTTTAAAAATAGTGTGTAAATTTTATTATTGAACTTTTTTGAATAATGTGTATATTATTAAATATGTCATCCATAGTGCTCTAAAATGAGTATTGAATGTCCACAAATAACTAATTTATCATGAGAAATACCATGAGAATTTTATTATGGTAAGTATTACATCCTGTTTCCCTCATTTTGTACAAAGCCTACCACTGTCAGAAAAAGTATTTTTGGTGATCTTTGATCAGCTCTGAGACCTAGAAATAAAAAGGCTATTGCGCTGGACTTACTACCCTGAGCAGGATGAGTTATTGGACTAGTCTAGAGAGCCAAATCCTCATTTATTCAGAGAATCTACTCTCTGCCTTCTAGCTCTACTTAAACTTTTCTTCTTTTGTTAGCATTGTTAAAAAGCACACATATTCATTTGTCCCATCATGTTGATTAACTTCCTTACTAATCAGTCCACTCCTAAGATAGTTAATTTACAAATAAATAATGTTGTGCAGAAAAGAGTTAACATAGCAAGCTTGGGACTACCATCTTTATAAGGGCCTGCTTGCAAGACTGGCCTATGGCTAGTATTTGGGAACTTAGCTCTTCTAACATTCCCTAACTGATAGGGAACTTTCCCTAACTGAATGGGTGGTTGCACTGTACCTAGATTCTGCAAACAATATGATTTTTGCTGAACATCTGATTTCCTTTTGGGAGGCTAGAATTTTAGATGTGCACTAGGCAGAGGATGTGTTTATGACCAGCCTTCAATAAAAACCTCAAGTGCTGAGTTTCTAATGGATGTCTCAGGCAGAAATGTTACATATGCATTGCTGAGTTTTTTATTGCTGGAGAAAACCATGTTCAAATGTGTCCTTTCATAGGAGGGAGAGAACATAAGGAAGACTGTGCATGGATTTTTCCAGACTCAGCCTATATCTTTTCCCCTTACTTATCCCATAGTGTATCCTCTTATTTTAATAAATATTAGGTGTAAGTACAACCATATTCTGAGACCTATGAGTCTTAGCAAATTACAAATGTGTGGATAGTCTTGTGGCCCTCCTATGATACAACTTTGAACTTTTGAATTCTGTAAATATTAGATGTAATATAACCATCAAAAATGCATGCATTTCTTAAAAATTGACATTTAAGAGAAGTTCTCAAAGTCCTAAATCTCTATATTCTGAGTATATAAATAATAGTTGATGTTCAAATCCTGGAAAAAAATTCTTTGAGGATGTTTATTTGTTTTGTTGTTTGGATTATGTAGAAGGAGATAAACGCTGATTGGAACAGAAAACCAAAGAGACCAAGCAACCTCTGTGAATCAGGTAAACATCAGCGACAGCAATTGACAAAATTGTATCGTCTCTTAATTCATTCTTTCAACTAACATTAATTGAGCTCCTGCTTCACGCCAAGTATGGTGCTAATGACTGAACAAAGAAAACCTATGGTTCTTACCCAGGGCTGTTACAGTGTAGTAAGGAGATAGTCATGCCAGCAAGCATAACCCAGTATGATAAGAACAACAGTGAAAGCAGGTGTGTATGCAAATCAGAGGAAATACAGAGAACTCAGTGCCTAGGTCTACCTAGGGTCACCAGAGAAGCCTTCACAGAATAGGCTATCCTTAAAACACGAAAGATGAGGTGGAATTTTCTATTGTAATTTTGAAAAAATTGATACCTTTAAATGTTAATTGTTCTCTCTTTGAATATTGAATGCCTTTCTATTTGTTTAGAAGTTGCCTTGAAAATTGTTTTATTATATACATCTATATGACATAAGTATGTGATAAAGGAAATATACTGGTTTCTGTGCTTAAGTTTATTCCTAAGTAATTTTGTTATTTTTGCCATTTTTATAAATATTTTCCTCCATTCATGCATAGATTTCTAATGCTAGAGAAACACTATAGTTTTTCATCTTGTATCCAATTACCTTACCAATATCTCTTAATTTTATATATTTTTCCTAATGTTACTTGTTTTTTCTTAATGGTTACATGAGAGTTTTAAAAAAAACTTTCCCAAATGTTTATACTCACTTTAATATCTTGTCTAAATACAGTTACTGGAACTTCCAATATTAAGTGACATGGCAGTTAACAATATACCTGTTAAATTCTGTGTTTTACATGAAATAGCTTTTGTGTTTTGCCAGTTAGGTTATTTGCTCTTGGTTTTGGTAAATATACATTATTCTCTTTAAATAGTGTCTTTTCCTAACTTATTTGTAGTATTGTGGCTGAAAATGACATTATTAATTTCATTTTATGAAATAAAATTATTAATTTTTGAAAAATCTTTTCCAGTAACTATTAATATAATCATGTGATGTCTCCTTTAATTTATAAGGATTATGTTGATAGATTCTAGCATATACTATTTTCCCATTTCAGAAATAAATCACACTTGTATTATACTTCTGTATATTTTAAAACTGAAGTAAAACATACAAACAGAAAAGACCAGAAAATATAAATATACAGCTGAATGAAATTATCACAAAGCAAAACATCCATGAAATCACAGACTGAGAAATAGAACATTGGAAATCCAGCAGAAGGCCTCATTATATTCACTTTTGATCAATACTCTCTCTTTTCTCCACTGTCATTATCTTGATTTCTGATATTATAGCTTAGTTTGTATATCCATTTGTGTATATTCATGCAGTTCCATACCATCTTATTATCAAGCCAGTACTGTACTGTCTTAACTACAAAAGCCTTGTAGTAAATGTTGACATCCAGTAGGGTAACTAAAGCATCTTGGCCATTCTTAGCTTTTTGCCTTTCCATTTAAATTTTAAAGAGCTTGTTGAATTGCAAAATAAAATCTTACTGGGATTTTTATTGGAATGGCATTAATCTGGAGATCAACTGCAGGCAAATTGACATCTTTTAAAGTGTTATGTCTTCCAACCCAAGAACATATTTAAATTTCCTTTAATTTCTCCCAATAATGTTTATACTTCTGTGTCTTAAATTTTATTCATTAGATTTATCCCTAGAAACTAGATTTTTATATTTTAAAGAGTATCTTTTACACTTTATTTTATATTTATTGATGTTATAATGAAATAAAACTAATTTTTCTATATTGGTCCACAACCTGGGTAACTTCAATGATTGTTCGTAATAATTTATCTGCAGATTATTTTAGACTTTGTAGATACATAATAGTGTTTTCTACAGATGTCAACTTTATTTCTCCCTTTTCAATCCTATAGCTGTTTTTCTTGACTTATTAAACTGTCTATTATCATCAGTCTGTGTTGAAGAAGGCTCTCTTTTTGTTCCCAATCTGAGAGAGAAAACTTAACATTTTGTAATTAAGAATCCCTGCTTACTTTTTTTTTTAGGTCTTAACATATTAAGGAAATTGTCTTAAATCTTAAGCCTACTAAGAGCTTTCATTATGAATGGATGTTGAAATTTGTTCAGTTGGATTTTTTGTTTTACATCTATTGATGTTCATATGCTTTTTCGCCTTTATTCTGTTAATGAATTATGTTGATTTTTAAAATGCTGCTCCAAACTTTTCTTGCTTCAAATAGAAAATCATTTGATCATTATGTATTATCCTTTTTCTGTGCACCTATATTCATTCTCTTCATGTTTTGTTTTACATTTTTTTGCTTCTGTAGTCATGCAGCGATAGGCCTGTTACTTTCATTTCTCATTTTGTCTTTTTTGGCATAAGGTTGTGCTATCCTCATAAGTGTTCCATCCTTTATTTTCTTCTGGAAGATAAAGATAATTTTTTTTCCTTAAAGGTTTCATAGAATTTACTGGTGAAGCTCTCTGGGCAAGGAGTTACTTTGTTAGGTAATTTTTAATTAAAAAATTTTAAATCTAGGATCATTTAGTTAGTCTTCGTAAGTTTTCTTTTTCTAGAAATTGATCGATTTGCCTAGGTTTCCAAATGTATTAACATATTCATAATTTCTCATATATATATATTATACTAATATTTTAACTTTTTAATTAAAATTAAAAGCATTTAGAAAGTACAAATTTTTGTGTTCAGTAAATTATCACGAAGCACACAAACCTATGTAAACCTCTGATATGAACAATAAAATAACCTGCACTGCAAAAGCCCTCATTCTGTTCCCTTCAAATCAAAACACCCTGCCTCCTTTTTGTCCTCTTGATTTCTACCACAATAGATAAGTGTTGCCTGTTTTTTTAACTTTATGTAAATGTAATCATGTTGTTTTCTTTCTGGCTGCTTCTTTCAATATTATATTTCTGAGATTCATACTGTCTTTGTGTATAGTTATAATTCACTTTAATTGTTGTATATAGTATTCCACTTCATGAATGTACAATTTATTCCACTGTTCATGGATATGTGGATTTTCCAGATGTGAGCTGTTATGAGTAGTAACTTATGAACTTTCTGGTATATTTGTGTGTGTGTGTGTTGTGTGTGTGTGAATGTGTTCTATGGCTATATATCTAAGAATAAAACTGCTGGACTGTTGGGTATGTATGTATGTGTTCAATTTTAGTAGACAATGCTCAAGAGTTTTCTGAAGGGATCTCACCAGTTTCAACTTTCACTAGCAGTTAATGAGAGTTCTTGTGTTTCATATCCTTTTCAACACTTTGGTATTGCAGACTTTAATTTTAGCCATGTCTGGTAGATTGGCATCTTATTGAGGTTTTAATTAACATTTCTTTTAGTAGTAATGAAGTTTCAGTTCTTTATTGGCCATTTGGATATCCTGTTTTGTGAAGGATCTACTTAAGTTACTTACCCATTTTTCTATGAGATTGTGCCTCTATTTCTTATTAATTTGTTAGGTTTTTTAGACTCTACATAATGAATCCTTTGTTGTATATAATAATATATTCTCACAATATATGCCTCTCGTTTTCTCTTATTATGGCTTTTGAAGAACAAGTTATTATCATTCAAATTCTTTTATTTTTGATGAGTTATTTCTGTGTCCTGTGTAAGAAATCTTTTCCTAGCCAATGTTAAATATATTTCTTTTTTTTTAAATATATGTGTGTGTGTGTGTAAACTTAAGTTCTATTTTGTTAGCAAATTTCAATTATGCAATACACTGTTATCAACTATGGCCACTATGTTTCACATTAGATCCTCAGATTTATACCTAAAACTTAATACCTTTTACCAGTGTCTCCCTATTTAACTCATGCCCCAGCCCCTGGAAACCACCGTTCTACTCTCTGTTTCTGTGAGTTCAACTTTTTAAAATATATATTCCACATGGAAGTGTTATCATGCAGTATTTGTCTTTCTCTGTCTGGCTTATTTTATTTAGCATAATATGCCCTCCAGGTTCATCAGTGTTTTTGTAAACAGGGTCTGTGTGTGTGTGTGTGTGTACCATATTTTCTTTATCCATTCATTCATCAACAGACTCTGAGTTTGTTTCCAGACCTTGGCTATTGTGAAATTGTGAATAATGCTGCTACAATGAACATGGGAGTGCAGATACCTCTTTAAGATAGTGATTTCATTTTTTTTTAATGGAATTGGGGATTGAATTCAGGACCTTGTGCATGCTAAGCCTGTGCTCTACCACTGAGCTTTTACCCTCCCCACTCATTTTTTGGTATATACATACATATACCTGGAAGTGGAGTTGCTAGATCATGTTGTAGTTCTATCTTTAATTTCTTGAGGACCCTCCATACTGTTTTCCATAATGGCTATACCATTTTACATTCCCACCAAACAGTGTGCTAGGGTACCCTTTACCCACATCCTCACCAGCATTTGTTCTCTCTTGTCTTTTTGGTATTTATCCTGACAGTGAGATGATATCTTGTGGTTTTGATTTGCGTTTTCTTGATGATTATTGATGTTGAGCATCTTGTCAGATACCCGTTGAACATTTGTAGGTTTAAATTGGAAAAATGTCTATTCAGTTTCTCTGCCTATTTTTTAATTGGGTATTTTGCAGTTTTATTGCTATTGAATTGTATCCTTATGTATTTTGGATATTAACCACTTGTCAGATATCTGGTTTGCAAATACTTTATCCCATTCGATAGGTTATCTTTTCATTTTGTTGATGGTTTTCTTTGCTGTGCAAAAGCTTTTTAGTTTGCAGTGACCCCACTTATTTTTGCTTTCATTGTCTTTGTTTTGCTGTCAAATCCAAAAAATGCAAGACTGATGTCAGGGAGCTTACCCCCAAAATTTTCTTCTAGAAGTTTTATAATTTCTTGTGTTCAAATTTAATTTATTCTGAGTTGAATTTTGTGTATGGTATAAGGTAGGGCTCCAGTTCCATTCTTTTGTATGTGCTTGCCCTGTTTTCCCAACACCAGTTTATTTAA